AAGAACTTGCACTTTGCTGATGATAGTTTAACGAGCAAGAACTTTGTGTGGTAAGTTATGAAATGGCTAATGTCGTACAATCACAAGAGCAACCAGTGCATTGTGGCAACAATGAAGAGACTCTTAAAGGTACATAATCCTAAATCTTCTCAAAGGAGAAGTTCCTGCCTAGATGATTTCATTCTAGCTGTGGGTATCCCTCAGGTAACTAAGAACATCTGAGAGATTGGATAGCCTAAACTCTAACACATTGATTATTTGATAGGAGATGGTAGATGATAATAGTTTCAAGAGCTAAATGATACTCTAATATTTATTATTTTTAAGGATGAAGTAATATTTATAAAAAATTGACTTAAGTGTTCATTATGCTTCAGGTACTGTGCTAAGGGCTTTATGCACATTACAGTTGAAAAGAAAGAGAATATATTTAGCTATATCCACAAGGGACTTCTGTGGAGTCAGGAAATGAGATGGGTCATTAGGAACCTAGTTTCAATTTGGCAGTATGTGATGATGTTTTATTCCAGGAAGCTAAGAATGCTCCTGTTAGGTTTTCCAGGTGAGGCTAATGATGATTAATAGGAAGAGTGGAAATGAAAAGCACTTTATTAATAGTGGGCCACTGTCCAATACACTCACAAAGCAAAATTACCGGTGAAGCTGGACAGGAGCCCACCTCTCAGTCTGGAAGCCTAACAAAGCCTCAATTTCCCTCCATTCATACCTGGATGGCTGCGGAGGTCACAATGATGGGTACAGTGAAGCACGGGTTTGGGAAGAGGAGAGAGAAGAAACACATATAACAGGTCACAGGGCACCATAGCTCACTTGTTTATATTACAGAATAGCAGCCAAAGAAGCAGAGGTGAGCCACACCCACATAAAACACCACAGGATAACATTCATAACAATAGATGTGATACATAGTTTTTAAAAGGCACAATTTTCATAGTGAATCTGAACATTTCTCTCAATATATGAAGATAAAGTAGCCAGAAAGCATTTCACAAAGAGGTCTACCTCAGTTGGGGGAGTGTGACATCTAAGTCATGGTGCCCAGGTGTTTGGTCAAGCACTAGTCTAGATGTTGCTGTGAAGGTATCCTGTAGCTGTGACTTACATTTATAATTGGTTGACTTTAAGTAAAGCAAGGAGCCTCATCCAATCAATTGAAGGCCTTAAGTGCAAGAACTGAAGAAGGAGGATTCCCAAGGAGAAGGAATTCTGACTCAAAAACAGTAACATAGAAATCCTGCTTGAATTCCCATCCTCCTAGCCTGCCCTTAGATTTTGTACTAAGGAATGCACCACAACTCCTACCTGAACTTCCAGCCTGCCTTCCCTATAGATTTCAGCCTTGCCACCTCTGCAATCACATAAGCCAATATCTTAACTAAATATCGACAAGTAACTAAATAATTAAATAAAATATCTCTCTTTCCCTCTCAAGAGAAGAAATAGAAAGAAAGATCTGAATTCTAAATTATGTGGAATGATTCCTTTGATAAGACAGAGATAGGGACATTCGAGAAATATTATTAAATACTTCAAATATATAACAATATATTTTATAACCTATTGACATATTTGTTTTCATCTGGTTCAAAACTATTTACTAAAAATAATTGTGTTTATGGTTATAAAGAAAGTCATAGAACATTCCTACCAGTGGAACTTTTCCTAACTCGCAATGCATTAATATCATTAATTTAAAAGCAAATATATATATATATGAAAACTCAAAAGGCAAAAATAATAAAGAAGTATAATACAACTAAAAATCTCCTAAACTACTCCTATATCAAAGAGGGAATTTAAGTTTCTACTTACAGAGATCTTTGAGAATGAGATATATACCAAATGAATATATTTGGCTTCCTCACTAAATGTGTCTCCCCCAGATTCATCCCCCAGGTAGTAATGTTTGAATGGTGGGTCTTTGGGAAATAATTGGGTTTGAATGAGGTCATGAGAGTGGGGTCCCCAGAAGGACACTGGTGTCCATCTAAGGACCTCTCTCTCAGACATGTGAGGTTACTGAGAAAAGGCAGCCATCCGCAAGCCAGGAAGAGGGCCTCACCAGAATCTGACCATGCTGCATCCTGACATCAGCTTCCAAAACTGAGAAATAAATATCTGTTGTTTAAGTCCCTCTGTTTATGGTATTTTGTTATGGCAGCCTAAGCTAAGACATTTACCCTACTAATTTTCTACTGAATAAGACAAACAAAAGAAAGTGGTTGAGAAAATTGTATACCACTATGGGAAACTCAAGAAGCACTTTAACTGTACATTCCAAATGTCAAAGAGCTGTAACTTTTGAATGATGTAGTTAAAGATGAAATAATGAGAAAGGGTGAGGTCTGCCTCTGCTACCGCCCGCCAAAGCAGGAAGAGACACACAGATGACAAGCACCTGTGTGGGAGAAAATTAACCTGGTCAAAAGATAATTTTTTAATAGAAAATGATAAAATTGTGACTCTCCTACAGATATGAAAATGAACATGTGTTAGAGATTTCATTTAACTCATTAGAGGAAACTGTCGAGGTCTACCAACCAGTTCAAGTAGTTAATATTAGAAAAGTACAGAATTCATTTGCATGTGTATAGACAAAAATTACCTTGCATACTACCAATTACCTACAACTTACACAGTTGTAGCATAGCTCCAAAAAACCAGTGTCATGTAATGTCTTTCAGACAGAAAACTAGACCAATGGCTCAGAAAATCATTTGTAGTTGCAGAATTTAACAGCTCTGGTTATGGTGACTTCTATGTGATATGAATAATCTACCTCAGTAGTTTCCCTCGTTTCCATTCATTTAAAAGGTTATGGGATCTATCCATTCAAGTTGAATGGTTAATATTTATATTACAGGCTGAAGAGAAGACTAGAGCCTGCTCCAGCCAGGTTCTTTATAGTTCCTCCACTTAAACACCAAGTTAGTTCCCAACCATCATAAAAAATATGCACTAAACCATCAAATTATACATGAAAACTAAGCAATATTAAGATGTACAAAGGACAAAAGGGTGCTAAAGAAGATTTAAGTGTGGACTGAGCATCTTTCTCCTGCTCATTCTATATTCAACATTCCTTAGGAATTCTTCTTCTGATGTGTTTTTTATTTCACATTCAAATTCTTAATGGGTATGATCAATCTCCCTAGTTATCCTGGTCTGGATTCCTAGGCATTTTAATATTTGCAACAAACTCCTTTAAATTGGAAGAGATAGATGCACATAAATTGAAAAGAACTCAGAAGGGTCAAGATAACCTTAGTTATTTTGCAGCTATTCATAATTACATGCACATAATGGGATTATGGGCTTTTATTTTTATATTTTTGCTTTGTTTCCTATTTGTTCAACAATGAAACTGTAGTATTTTGAATTGAGAATCAATATGTTTTATATGAATTTTTTAAAAGCCATTGAACAATTTATATGTATCTTGGAAGCTTATGTTTGTTCTACTTAAATGTACTATGTGGAAAACCTTAGGCCAGATATTTACTGATATACTACTCATGAAAGAATTAGACAGTTTATAATTAGAACCATTAATTGTATCCTGCTTGTGTTCAGGGACCCAAGTCCCACACTCTACCTCAAGAAAATGATGGGTGTATTCCTTTTGAAGTTTCATTGACTACTTATAGTTACTGAATCATCATCATCATCATCATCATCATCATCATCATCACCATAACAATAGCTCATTAAGTTTGTTTTATATGCTAGACTCCATTCTATGTGAGATGTTACATATATCTCATCCACCTCCAACAACCTTATGTGGTGTGCACTGGCATCAACCCTACTTCCCAGACAGAACATTGAACTGGAGAGAGGTTAAGAGCCTTGCTCTTCTAGGTCCCATGATTAAATAGTGTTGGAACAGGATTCCATCCAGGACACTGACTCCAGAGGCCCAATTCCCAACTCCCAACATCTCTGTTCTGCTATTGTCTAAACTGTGTGAACAAAAGTGAGAACAACAAGAACTAATGTGAAGATCACACACTTAGAACCCAGCAGACATGGGCAACATGTCTCTCCAGCCTTGCACTAGCAATACAGCGACCAGCTGTCCCTCTTTCCCAGAATGAGTACCTGAGAGTGTGTGCCATAAACCTTGACTAGAGGTTTTCTGCTGGAACATATTTGTACATCAGGGCAAATAGCACATGGGTTAAAGAATGCTTTGAGTCCTTGAACATAATCTTCGTGCATGATATAGGTCAGTGATGGCGAACCTTTTGAGCTCGGTGTGTCAGCATTTTGAAAAACCCTAACTTAACTCTGGTGCCGTGTCACATATAGAAATTTTTTGATATTTGCAAGCATAGTAAAACAAAGACTTATATTTTTGATATTTATTTTATATATTTAAATGCCATTTAACAATGAAAAATCAACCAAAAAATGAGTTCGCATGTCACCTCTGACACGCGTGTCATAGGTTCGCCATCACTGATATAGGTGGAAATGGAATGAAAAGTCTAACTCTACTTTCAGTTGAGCATGAAGGTGAAGTCCACAGTCAGGGAACACACAGGACTTATAGGGCACATCCTGCCCTCACAACCCAAGAATTATTCTCCTCCTAGCTCCACTGACCTTCCCTGACTTGGATGCCATCTTTAGTCATTTCTACAACCTTCTCAACCATGACCACCTCGTCTTTCTGCCATGCTCCCCCCCCCTTACCATTTACCAGCCCTGGGAAAAACCGACCATCTGGTCATGATCATTTCCCACTCCCACTTCTGAGCTGCTAGTAATTATCCAGAAAAGAAATAAAGCCATGGCAGTTGGCCTGACTATAAATTCTCATTATCTGCTTCAATTCATGCTTTCAGTAATATTCAGGAGCAATTTTCATGTAGTTCATTATTTTCCTTTCCTACAATGTCTGATGTTCCCAAACTTTCCCCCTCATTCTTTCCTTCTATCCCAACTCCTTCCCTCACACTCATCAGATTGCCTACCTTCTATTGAAGCCTTTGTTGTTCCATTTCCAAGGTTATTTTATAAAATCATTCCGGATCCTGTAAGTTGGATTGTCAGCAAGAAGACTGTGCAAACTCCCAATGCAGGGGAAGTTTCTTCTCTGTCTTCAGGAAGCAGTAACCAAGAGTCATTCTCTGTGGGCGTTAAATGAACATTAATTAATGATGAATGGAGGATACTTTACCATCTGTTCACCACTGATTCAAAGTATACTGTTGTCACTTAATTGGATTATTTTTAGTCTTGTAGTTTCAGCTGGTTGAACACTAATGGCTGGAACTGTGAGATGCCGTAGCAAATCATAACTCCCATTTTGAAATCCTTGTCTGGAGGGGTGGCTAATTATTGAATGATAAGAGCATCCAAACAGCAATGAAAGAAGGTCTTTTCTAACATTTAGTTTTTTTAAAGTCATAAGACGTTCCCTCTTTAGTAAAATAATTCAAGTCATGTATAACAAGTGACAGCCTGGAGGACTGAGAGCTAATGGAAGAAGCACAAGGGATGTATTTTTTTAAGGAAAAGAAAACAAATGGTATTTACATATATGGTAAACAGTCCAACACTGTCTTGTCATTAATCCCCCAGCACCTCCTAGCACATATTAGGGTTAACATACAGTGCTGCCCTCTGGAGGTATGCACTATGATATCCAGTGGAATCAGCAAATACATTTCAATTCAGTCATTTCAAATTACTAATATGATAGCCATTTCTTCATGAAGGAGAAATTGAGCTGTTTTTAAAATTACTTAAGACAAGATGTTCTTGGGAGGTTACATTACATTTTTTTCAAACTTTCAAATTAGAATTAAGAAGTAAAGATATATATACCTAGGCAGAAACCAACCTGTGGGACCTGCCTGGGTGAATTAACCATACTTCAGGTCCCTTGACTTTCATCTTGATAGTTCTGAAATGTGATTGGGTCAATACTCCCCTGATGAGCAGGCTGGCTCTGCTCACTCATCAGAGACTAAATTACTGGCAAATTCACATTAATTCTCTGCAGCAAATATCACTGTAGAGCAGACTGGGTATTTATATAAATACGGTAAGCTCTTTCCTGCATAGTCTAGAGTGGTCACTGCTAATCTTTGCCTAATGACTGATTTTTCTATGAGTCCATAACTGACCACCTCCCCTACCAGTGGACACATTCTTTCCTTAACTCAGAAATGTTCACCCCCGCTGGCACATAATGCCATGCAAGTCTGCAGCGTGTCCTGAGTGGGACTTCTGCCTCTTGAAAATTCATTGGATGCTGCTCTGAAATATTATATATTAATTTCCTAACTCTCTGGGAGCAATTTTATCACCTTATTTCCCAATTCCTTTAGGCTCACCCACTAGTAATTGTAACTACATACTTAATAAGGCATACATAATTTCTGATTTTACAGGTGAAAACTGAAGCTCCAGTTAAAATGCACATTCTAATTTATATCCTGGGATATGTATAACTTCACATAATAAAGAATAATAGCTCTTACTTATGAAGAATATGCATACTATTTGCCAAACACTGTGTTTTGCCCTTTATCAGTTTTAATCCTGATAAAAGTATGAAGAAACTGATACTTAGACTATCCTGCAAAAGTCACAACTTCAGCAAGTTACACAGCCAGAATTTAAATCTAGCCGGTTTGCTTCTAAAGTTCATGCTCTTCACACCACTTCATAATATTAAAAAGTTGCTAAATAAATCAAAGTCTATGCCAATTCAATGTGAAAGGAAAAATAAAACAGATCCAAAAGTATATAGCTTTGCTTCAGTCTCTATGACCATGTTTTCAGTGCTTCGAGGTGACTGTACCTTTAACAGCTTTTTATTGGGAGACATTTAGAGTGACACTTTGATCACTGCAGAATCTCAGCTTGGCACTGGTTCCAGTTTGTCTGATGAAGCTGTTTCTGCTGAGATTTCTTTGCATTTAATGTGCATTTGTGTTTTACACTGTGTCCAACCATTCTGGTAGTAGCATATGGTTAGTTTTGTTAATTGGGCTTTTTGTTATGCTGTGTCTGCAAAGCTTCTTTTAATTTATATTCAAATGTTTGTCATCCTCCGGCAGTCTGTTTTATGATGTCTGTGTTTGTTTTGTGACCCATGACTATACCATGCTTTTCAAGCTGTGTTCTGGAACATTATTTGAAGATGCCCACCATGTGCTGGCTTTATGCAACAACATAATTCCTGCTCTCTTTCCTTAACAAGCCAGCAGAGTGGGCGTTGGGAGAGGGTAGGGAAGGGAAGGTCATATTTTTTCAGCCCATTCTACTCAACTACATTGTTAGGAATGATATAGAGAGGGTGAAAGTTAGCTTGTTTATCAAGGACAGAATGCTAGATGATTCATGTAGCATCAAACATTCATAAAAGTCTATTCATTGCCAGGTACTGTGCATGAGCCAAGTTCGGGAGATTTGTAAAAGAGGATAAAATAGGGAAGCCACCAAGAATGGTATTGATTCCAGATACTTGGACCTAACTACCTGGATTCAAATTCCAGTTCCACTCATCAGTTGTGTGACCTTGGGCAAAATACTTAACCTCTCTGTCCCTTAGTTTTTGTCTACATATATGGGTGAAAAAATATCTATTTCATAAGATTGGTGGAAATATTAATGAACTAATACCTATAAAGCACTTAGAATAATACCTGGGACACAGTACAGTCAGTAAATGTTAGCTATGATTGCCATTATTATTTACATAATGTCTAGTAAATATAGGGATCTGGCTAGTACATGGGGTGCTGTAAAGTAGAAATACAAAGCCCAAATGAGTCTAATCAATATTTTCCAAACTGCATTCTTCAGCAAATGAATAAATTTAGAGAAAAAAAACATCTGTGGTTTAATATGTACAGGGAATGCCAAGTTAAACAGATGACTGTGCATTTCATAGAGTCCACAGGAGGCTGATGTGTACTGTGACTCTCCAAGAGGAAGGAACACGCAGCGTCAAAGATTATTAATACAGGGCTTTCATCCATGTGCAGGGTCAGGATAAAGGAACTTATCTAGTCTAGAGAACATTTTTATTGACTTCAGAGAAGAAGAGAGAGGGGAAAAAAGAAACATCAATAATGAGAGAGAACCATTGATTGGCTGCCTCCTGCACACCCCCTACTAGGGATCAAGCCCGCAATCTAGGTATGTGCCTTTGATCAGAATTAAACCCGGGACCCTTCTGTCCACAGGCCCACGCTCTATCCACTGAGCCAAAGTGGCTAGGGCTAGCGATCTAATCTTACGAGACCAGTTTTCATCAACAAGTCTTTCAGAAATTCTGATCTGGGCAAAAGTTGTGGACAATCACAACTAGCAATTAGAAGGATGTTAAAGTTAAGGCTTTTAACCTAGTTCCTACCTGTCTGTTATTGAATTCTTGGAGATTTAAGTAAAATTTAGATTATTATTATGAGACATCAAAGAGGGGAGAGAGAGAGAGAAGAGAGAGAGAGAGAGAGAGAGAGAGAGAGAGAGAGAGAGAGAGAGAGAGAGAGAGAGAGAGAGAGAGAACAATTTATCACAAAGCAATTCCTTGGTGTCACACGACCAGATCCTGTGACACTTTGGGTGTCTCATCCTTTCGGTAATGACATTTCTCATAGGAGAAGCCCAAGAACTCCCAAATCCTGAAAATGTAAGAAATATAAAATGTAGCTGGGACTTTATTGTTACTCACATGAAAACATGGAAACAGAGAACATTGTCTCCAACTTTGCTTCTGGCAGAGAACGTAAAAATATTTGGATATCTGTCCTATCATTTGTGTCCTATCTTACTGTTTATTTCATGCTTCTCTAATTATGGGAGAGTTTGGGAGGAAGGCAGGGGGTAAAGAAAGGACCTAAAGGAATGTAATGACAGAAACCAGAAAATCATAATGTCTGGCAGACATCCTTATATAGAAAATATTTCCTCTCAGCTAAGGAACTCTTCCATTTGGCTTCGTTAAAGTTGATATGGAAATATTGAATCAGTTTCAATGTAAATATGATTCTTAAACATTCTTCCTACACTGTACTAGATGCTAGGGGGGAAATGGTAAATCTGACACAACAGTCTCATATGGTCCTCACAGGTAAATCACACAATTTCAACTCTTAGTTCTGAGCAAGGTAGTTTTGAAGCTGTGAAAACACAGGGATGCGTCACTAAATTCAAGATGGCTGGGAAGAAGAAAGGGATGAAGTAGGTGCTACCCTGAGAATTGGGGAGTGAATGGGAGATGGCAGTGATGGAGTGTGGGAGGAAGAGATGAGTGGTACAAAAAAAAACACACCAAAAAAAACCCTGCAGACAAGAGAAAGAAAAGTAGAGCTAAGAAGCAGAAATAAGTCTCATATGATTATGATGCAGCATGCAAAGGAGTAGAAGGATGAGAGTTGAGAGGCAGGGGTAAGTCAGGGGTAGGTAATAAATGATTTCACAAAGAAATAATAAATGATTTTGTAAGTCAGGTGAAAGGGCTTGCAATTTCTCCTGAGGATTATGGGAGCTATGGAAGTGCTCTAAACAGAGCAGAGATATGATCACTTTGCCCTTTAAAAAGGTAACACCAACTACTGGGAGAAAATCAGTTTGTTTGGGGACAATATAGGTGGCCAGAAGACCACTTAGGACACTGTGCCTGTAAAGAAGTCAAGAAAGGATAGTGGATGAAGAGATGTGAGAAATTCAGGCAGTAAACTTGTGATTGCTTTAATGTGGGAGATGAAGAAAAGAATTTAAGGAGGGCTCACAATTTCTTAGATATGGGCACCACGCATTAATTTTTGGAGACAGTACAAAGGATGAGGATGGTTCACTCACCTTGGAATATGTGGAGTCACGCATCTAAGTGGAAATGACCAATGGGCAGTTGGACATGGGTCTGGGTCTCAGCTGTGAGTCGTCAATACTGAAGACACACTTGGGTGGTGTCATCTTGGAGTGAGATGATGCCTAGAGATTGTGTACTGAGAGAATAATTTCTAGGGCAGTTCGCTGAGAGACAAAGAGAAGACAAAGAACCTCCAGGGAGACTGGGAAGTCGTGGGAAGAACTAGACAAGGGAAACCAACCAACAGAAGAAAGGCATGTCCAACCACGTGGTGAGATAATAAGAAATGAGAAAGGTTAA